GATCTAATCCTCTATAAATCCAGAAGCGACTGATCTCACCCTTCTGCTGCACAATGTGGCTGCCTTTCCTCCTCCTTTCCCCCATCCCTTCCTCTGTGCACCCTCTGTGTCCTTGGAGGGTCTTCTCAGCGTTCTCCCCCAACACAGGGGAAGCAAAGCTGCCACTTCAGGGCTGATCCACATCCTGCTGACTCTGGGATGAGGCTGGAGACTGCCCAGTGCCCAAGCTCTGACCCAGATCTGGGCTGGAGCCGTGAGCACTTTCGCTGGGATTTGTCCAGGGTTGCAGTGGAGAAGATGCCTCAAGAAGAGGCGGGGGCCAGGTGTGGTGTAGATGGTGTGTGGTGAAACACCTGCCTGTGCTCTCCCCCCCTGCCTGGGGGGCTCATTGCATCCACATCCTCCCCTTTAGAAGGAGGGGGCTCTGGGGCTGGGAAGTGCATGAAGGCTTGGTGGGGTCATGAGGCAGGAGAGCTGTGCCTGACTGGAAAGAGGATCTGCCATCCTATCTCAGTTTCCCATCCCAATTTCCCATCCCATCCCAATTTGCCATCCCATCCCATCCCCCAGAGGAACCATCCTGCTGAGGAAGAGGAGGCTGCAGGGCAGGAGGGGAGACAGGCAGTGCTGCTTCCTCCCCATGCAGGGCTGCTCCATGTCCAGAGCCTCCTGCCAACAACCACTGCTCATCTTAATTGGCGTTTGACTTGATTGGACACAATCTGCCCCTCGCAGAACACCTCGGGACCTGTCTGTGTGTGAGGCTGTCCTGGAAACGCTGCTCTGTCCTGTTAATGAGCCTCTGCTGGAACAGAAGGGCGGATCATTAGGAGCCCGATTCCTCCGGCACGGCTGCCGGCGTGCTCCAGGAGCATCCCGGGGGTGTCGGCTGGGCTGTCCCCGAGCTGGGCTGGGCTGGCTGTCTCCACAGGTGCTGCTGTCCCCAAGATGGGCTGGGCTGGCTGTCTCCCCCAGGTGTGCTGCTGTCCCCGAGCTGGGCTGGGCTGGCTGTCCTCAGGAATGCTGCTGTCCCTGAGCTGGGTGCTCTGTGTGCAGCACAGCTCAGTAGAGGTTGCTAAGCTCTCCCAGCACTCGCTGTTCTCCCGCTCTCCTTCCCCAGCCCCATCTTCCTCAGGAGCTGGGAATACATTTCCATATCCGAGTGGCCACGGAATGTTCCCTGTGATGCTGTGATGCTATTGTCTCCTGGGGGAGTGGGGAAGATTGCAAAGCACTTGGCGTTTAACACCCACATATGGTTAACACCACAGGCTCTGTGCTGATAAAGAGGGGGTAATTAAAGTTTATTTTTTTTTATAGACTAATCTCCCAAGCATGTATTTATGAGCCTGATTTAGAAACAGCATATTACTGAGAACATGGGATATTTGTGTTGCTCATAAATCCATACGTGTTCTGAACACACCTTGTGGTTTCTTTTTTTCCTTCTCCCTCCTAAATTTAGGCAGTACTGCTAATATTAAGAAGAATTGAGCCCAGAGTTTTGTTGGGTTTTTTCCCCCCTCCTTGTCTTTTGGGCGGGCGAAGGAAAGTGTACAAAGCAGTGAGTAATTAAATGCACGAGGAAATGATATTTCAAAGGAGACACGGTGCGTTTGGAGGGGCTGTTTGCTGAGTGTTTACACCAGTGGCTTTGAATTTATCTTCATCTTGCAGCAGGTGAAAAATCTTCAGGGGAATGTGATGCTTTGCAAGCAGTTTCTGAGCAGGGGCTCACATCCTCACCAGGATAATTTGCACTGGGGTTTGAGGGGAGACAAAAAAAATCCTGGGTGGGGAAGGTGGTGGTGGCCAGAGTCCTTCTGACCACAGTGCTGGACACTCCTCTTGTTTTCCAGTCTAATTAAGCCACCCTTGGACCACCAGCAGGGAGCGTGTCAGGTATGATTCTGCCCTGAAATGGAGCACTTTGCCTTTCCTTTCTGCTTCTCACTCCTTGAATTTTGTGGGCTGTGGGGAGAAGTTACTTCTCTCTGGATAGAAGTATATTTTTCATCCTGATGGTGTGCCCTGCCACTGCTTGGGTGCAGACTCCCTGGGAATCCCCATGGTCCCAGTTTTTCCCTTCAAAACTGCCTGGGTGAGCACTTGGAAATCCATTCACTTTGTTGCAACCTCTCAGAACACGCCAGAAACCTCTTTGGTTAAAGATATAGAGACATGATCTTAACATATGAAGCATTTATTAGGGGACAGAGATCTGGGGACTGAGTTTGGTCTCAGCCATGCCTGGTTACCATCTTCCTCCTGGGATTTTTGAACCCCACAAGACACAAACCAGGACTTCTGTTGGGTGCTGGGGCTCTCAACCATCCATAAAGGTCTTGTATTCCCCACCCAGCTTCCTCCTCTTGGTAAAGGACATTGAAACCAGATTGTTTGGTGCACCTGGAGTTTCAAATCCGCTCTTCAAACACTTCCCTGAAAGCCTGGGGATGACAAGGAGAGGAGGGAAAGCCCAGACTTAGCCAGGCCAACCTCTCATTTGTGGCATTGGGTTTATTTGGGGCTGCCTGAGCTCCTGAGCTGGGTTTGGATCCCCTCCCTGGGCTGAAGAAGGAAGGGATCCATTTCTCTCACCTCTGGACCAGGGTGAAGCCCTGGAAAACCTGCTGAGATGGGTTTGGTTAGCAGGGCCTTGCTGAAAATACATTTGCTTGTGGTTTTGAAGGTTTGGAGTGAAGCTGATTATCTCCAGATAGGTGTTTAAATGCAGCACAGCAGTGGTGGAACATCAGTGGTCTGCAGAGCAGGGAAAGAGATGGAAAACAAAAGCCCAGTCCCTCTCTTTAAATGCTTTTCCAGCAGTCTCCCTTCAAACCTGGCAGCTAACTGGTTGTGAACAATAAAGAGCTGAGCTGGAAACCCAATTTGTGCTCGAGCAGAAGCCCCCTTGTTTTGGTTCAGTTGGTCAAAACCAAACATCAGGCACTTGTAGAGGTCAGTGATTAGCAGTGATGGAAATGAGAGAGTGCAGGAGGGAAGGGAGTTACAGGAGACTTGGAGCAATTGTCCCTTTCCTTGAGCAGCCAAGCTCAAACTCATGGAACTGTAAAAGGATTTTTGCTGTTCCAAGCCCCTGTGCTGCTCTCCTCTGAGTCACAGGGAGAGAAGAAGCCACATGGACCAATGGGGGTGTGAAATCCTAATTCCTCCAGCTCCACTCTGGCTGCAGTTTGGTGAAAGCTGCCATCATACCTGGGATTTGGGCTCTTTGTGAAAAGGGGATAATACTTGTCTCACTCATAAGGGATTTATGATTTAATGTTTGCAAAGCACTTTAAGACCCTGGATTGAAAGGTGATTTATAAGGGTGAAATCCAGCGTTGTCTGGTCCATTGTATATTTGATTTTGTCCACTTATCCTCAGGGGGGCTTTTTTCCTTACCTTTTTTTTTTTTTTCTTTCCCCCCGCCTTTTTTCTTTTTTGCATTCGTGTCATAACTTCAAGCCAAGCAGGGGCTGTGGCAGGCACAGTATGCCCAGCAAGTGAAGGATTTTGCCTCCCATGGAAGTGCTAACTTATGCTGATGATATGAATAAAGATTGGAAAAGAAAAAAAGAGGATTGCAAGGTGAGGGGCACAGGGGATTGGCAGTAAAGCTGTGAAATAGGAGTGGGATGGCTGTTCAGATGATCCATGCATAAGGAAAGATGCTTCATAAATAATCAATTTACTTGCTCCTGTTGGTCTCAGTGATGGGGGTATTTTCCAGCAGATCAGCCACTTCTCCTGTCCTACAAATCCTGGTTGGAGCATCCCCTGTGCAGGCTCCAACCTGGGGATGCTGTGGTGGGGCTTGGTGCCCTGCCTGGGATGCAGAGGTTGTGCTGGGCATGAGGGTCCTGCCCTGGCCCCAGCACCTCCAGCAGCAGCTTTAGGCAAATCACAGAGTGTGCAAGGGGTGACTTGGATCCATTTCCAATTCAGTTTTCAAACTGATGCTTTTTAAATCTCACTTTGCACAAGGGCTGGGGCGCAAGTGGGGAGAGGCTGCTTCCAAAAATCAAGAGGTGTCCTCATGTGAATCCTGAGCAGGGCTGTGGTCACCTCTGCCAGCAGCTGGATCATCTCAGCTTGCACCAGAATGGGCTGTGCAGCCTCTGGGTTCATTGCTGGGCTGTGCCCCTGGATCATCTCAGCTTGCACCAGAATGGGCTGTGCCTTCTCATTGCCATGGACACACTCTCCAAGTGGTGCATCTCAAGCCCTGGAGAAGGAACCTTGTGAGCTGTTTGTTATCTTGGAGCGGAGCGGGGTGCTGGCACAAGGTGTTGGATGAGGAGGCTGTGGAGGATGCAGTGCAGTCAGAGCAGCAGCAAGGGCCAGGGGTGCCTCCAGGATGCAGGCTCCAAACACTCCTTTGTTGGGCAGTGGAGACCTCTTGGTGGTCTGGGACAGTTCTTGGTCATCTCCATCAGTAGAAAGGGTCTCATTTGGACACTTGACATTCCCAGTCTGCATCCAATAAGAGCAGCTGAATCTTCTGGAGCAGCCAGGTCTCTCTGGATGACTCTGTGTGGCACAGCTTCCCCACATTCCCTATGAATCTTGGGGATTCTGTCCCACCCAGATGCTGTTGATGGTGATTCAGCCATCCTAACCCTGTCCTGCCCCACGAGGGTTTCACAGTGGGTTGCCAAGCCAGCCAATGTTGACAAGAAGTGATGGTGGTTTCAGCAGGAGGGCACAGCAGGTGTGAGAGTGATTCCAGGGAGAAGTTCTCAGGGAGAGGGTCTATACAGGGTTTTGAGCAGGTTTTTTTGAGAGGCTCCCTCCTCTAGCCAAATGAAGCCCTGTGCCATACAAGGTGTGATGGGAACCCTGGGGTGTGCAGACTCCTGCTGAGCTCCCATCCTTGTTTTCCATGCCTGCCTTTCCCATGCTGGTGCTCCCCTGCCTCTGCTGACAAAGCCCTGGGTACAGCTTTCCCTTTTGGCCCCCCACCCACCCACCCACCCCTGTGTGTGCCTTGCAGGTTCCATGAAGAGCCCTGTGAACAAGACGGCGCTGACGCTGATCGCGGTCAGCTCCTGCGTCCTGGCCGTGGTCTGCGGCTCGCAGCTCTCCTGCCCGCTGACCGTCAAGGTGACGCTCCACGTCCCCGAGCACTTCATTGCTGATGGTAAGACCCTCCTATCGTGGCATGGCATCCCTGTTGTGGTAATAATTAGCATTGGCTCCATGATTCCAGAAGGCTGATCAATCACTTTGTTATACTATACTTACTAAGAAACCCATCGCTGTGGCATTCACATCCTCTGAAAAATCGCTTTTCCCAGGATTTTTCTCCTGGGAAGCCAACAAGGCTCCGAGAAAAAGGAAAACAATTCTTGTCTCATTGGTTTCTCCTCTGTTTTGTTCATGTGGAATGTGTTTGGAGATTGTTTACCCACAGGTGATTGTTTCACTGGGTTCTGCTGTGAGTTGTTTTCACTCTTTGGCCAATCAGGGCCAAGCTGTGTCACGACTCTGGAGAGAGTCACCAGTTTTCATTATTATCTTTTTAGCCTTCTGTAAGTATTCTTTCTGTATTCTTTGGTATAGTTAGTATAGTATTCTTTAATATAATATAGTATAATAAAATAATAAATTAGCCTTCTGAGAACATGGAGTCAGATTCATCATTCCTGCCTTCATCAGGGCACCCCGCAAATACAATACATCCCCCTTACAGACAGTCTGATACAGTCAGACCAGATTGGTCAATTCATCCAAGCACCATCACCATTGGCCAATTAAGAAATCACCCTTTGGCAAACAAATCTCCATAACACATTCCACATGTGCACAACAACAGGTGAAGCAAGTGAAGAGAAGAATTGTTTCTAATTCTTTTCTCTGATCTTCTCACAGCCTTTCCTGCACAATGCCTGGGAAAGTTGTGCCTGCTTTCTGTGGTCAGAGAGCTGTGGCCACACCCTCCTGCTGCCCCTCTGGGTGTGTTTGGGACATGGAGATCCCTATCTTTGGGAGTGCCCCAGCTGTGTTTGACTGCAGGGATCTCCCTTTCCACAAGCACATCTGCGACACTGAGGCCAAAATCTCAGTTGTGTCAATTAATATTATCGTTGTTATCATTGGTGCTAATTGTGTCTGATGGATAATGCTGTTCTCTTCCAAACTCGTTGAGGAGCCCTGGGAGCTGCACAGACAGGCAGCAGCAGAGCTGCTCATCCCAGCCCTTGCAGCAGCATGGGGGGAAGTTACTGGGGTTTGAGCAAAGGCAGAGATGCTTTGATAAATTAGACGAGTGCTGCTGTCACTATTTATTGCTTTCTCCAACTGGGCTCCTTGCATTTGTTGTGTTTCACTGACCTTTTCCTTATAATGTGCGGTGAGCATCGAGTGCAAGTTTTCAGTAACACAAGGGCAAATTTCATTTTCTTCCAGCAGACAGGACCCATTATTCAGTCGGTTCCAATTCCTCAGCTCCTGCACTTGTCTCACTGCTTGGGGCATGCAGAGGGGGCACTTTCTCTCTGCCAGAAACGTGCTGCATGCAGCCAGTGCATCACCAGCTGCTGGGGTGTCCTGGTGCAGCCAGCTCTGGGACAGGCCCCTGCTTTGGGTGCTTTGGAGTGGAGGGCAGCTCTTGAGGGATTATTATTTTGAAGGAGGGGGGGGATGGTTAAAGAGACACAATGGCATGAGAGCTGCAGGGGCCAGTGAAGAGGGGTTGAAATCATTACCCCATGGCAGAATGGGAGTCACCAGTGTGTTTGAAGTGGGGTTAGCCCTGATAAGAGTGGTCTCTGGGTAGCTGGGATCACCCAGTGGTCACAGCTTGGCCCTTGTAGGAAAGAGGGGGAGAGCATCTACTTTGTGTTCTCACACTGGAGGAACTGAACACGTGTTCAGTGGAGTTCTTGAAGGTAACATCAAGGTGCGGACACCACATCCCTTGAAGTGTTCAAGGCTAGTTTGGATGGAGCTCTGAGCAACCTGGTCTGGTGGCATGTGTTCCTGCCCATAATAGGGGGTTGGAACAAGAGGATGTTTAAGGTCCCTTCCAAGCCAAACCATTCTGTGGTTTAAGGATTTGAAACAAGGGATTTGTCTACACCTTGGTTTTAATAATTGTCCTAGCCACACATGAGTGTTTGAAATCTTCACAGATGGTTCCAAGTAGCTGGAGAATAGAAACTCCTGCATTTGGGGCATGAGGTTGCTCCAGTGCTAATTTGTGTCCCCTTGGGATGGGTACTGGCCAGTTCAGCACTGGGACTGGGAGCTCACACTGGTTCTGGTACTTGCTGAAGGTCAGCCAGGAAGGCAGGGATGGAGACAGGACCTCAGCATCCTGCTCCCAGCTCATGGTTCTGGCCCAGGAAAGACAGTGTGTCCTGAAAAAGAAAATAAACAAAATGCAGTGAGACTCCACAGAATGAAAGTGGAAAGCCGAACCTGTACTTGTCACCAGGAAAGGGGTGGCAATGCAAATTATGCAAATGCAGGGAACACTCGAATGAAAATGACAATGAAATACCAATAAAGCAGATTAATATCCTTGAAACTGGGGGAAATGGGATGATCTCCAGTCCCGACTTAATGACTTTTCTGAAGAGAAAGTGGCAAGAGGACTGGTAACAACGGTTTGGAGAAGAATTAAAATGAGCTTTGTAATGAAACTGTAAAATATAATTACAAACTGTGAAAACTTTTAAAATATTTTTTATGAGAAACAGTCAAATTCTTCACATAGAAGCAGCCAAGACATTTTGCAGTGGCTATCACTTTCCCTGAAATCTCAGCATTTTATGTGATGACAGTCTCTTGCTTGGGAAGAGAAAAAGCTCTTAAAGTTGTCCCTTCTTTTTGAATAACAACAAATCCCAAGGCACCACCCAACTGGCAGCAAAATATTACAAAGCATTTAAAGACATCACAGAACTGAGCTGGGTTGGGAAATTTCAATGATACCCAGGAAAATGTGGCTGGATTTGTTTGCCAAGGCTCAGCACCTGCAGTTTGATGCTGACGGAGAAGAGGGGACCTGCTCCTCCCTGGAGATCTCCCGTGGGGGATTAAATCTGATTTTTACAGAGTGCTAAAGGGGGTTGGCATCAGCATCCCTGTGGCATCGAGGTGACAACAGAGCTGAAGTGTTTGGCCTGGCAGAGTCTGGGAGCTTTGATCAATCTTGAAGCAGCTTCTGGTGCGGCACCCGACAGTGGCACCGTGTCTCGCGGGTGTCGCCGTGCGCTGAAATCGTCTGGGTCCCGAAGCTGCTCCCTTTGGTGCTGCACAGGATGACAAGGCACTCTCTGTGAGAAGGCAGCCATGGTGCATTCACAGGAGATGTTCCCATTTGAGGGAGTGGTGCCCTCTCATTCCCTTTTGAAATGTGGAATTTCAGTAGGGACCAGGAGCCAAGGAAAATCTGAAAGCGGAGCTGCTACCGGCACCTCTGCAGGAGAAGCCAAACAAAGGCAGAGGCTGAAAGAAATCGCTCTCCTAGACGATGAGAACTCGGCTTTGAAGGAAACTTTAAATAGATGCCAGCCAGTTCTGGCGTGCCAGCAGCCAGAGCCAAGAAAAGAAAGAGGGGGGAAGCCTCCCCAAATGTCTCCAGCTTTGGAGAAGAGCAGCTTTTCCTGCTGCAGCAAGAATGGCGTTAGAAAAAGCAGCTCCAGAGCCTGCTGGAGTGGCAGGGTGGGAAAGGGGAGGGGAAGGACTGGGACCAGAAGCCAACTGGCAGCCAAGCTGGGAGGATATATTCCAAGCAGCAGTTCTATAATAACCAGCCTGTCTCTATTGCCCTTATTTCTCCCTCGGTTTGTTTTCTTCCTTTTGTTCATTTGATGGGGCGCCCCTGCCTCGCTCCCCGCTGAGCAGTTATTGCCTGCTTTGCACAGCTGCTGTGCCTTCACTTCATGGAGCAGCTGGATCAAGGAGAGCCTGGCAGGAGCTGGCGTGGTTGGTAGGGAGGGCTGGCACCTCCTGCTTCCCAGAAACGAGTTGGTGCCTCTAAATCCTCTCTATTCGAACACAGTGCTTGGAGTATCCTCTCCTTCCTTCTGCTGCTCCAGGGTTTGTGTTTTGAGACAGTCCTTGCAGGAGGAATTGTTCTGATTTCAGAGGTGGCTCAGATTTATGGAAAGAACCGTAGTGGCTTTTATGAGGATATGGAAATGCAAGGCATTATTTAGAGGACCCTTTAGCTGTGTCAAAGGGGGGAAGAAAGGAAAGAGAGTCCTTCCATCTGAGTAATAAAACCTCTTATGAATATGGGGGCCACTCAGCTCTACATTCAATAGTTGTTTTTTTCGTTTTGTTTTTTACTTGTAAGCAGTAATTCAAAAAAGTAGAGCTGGAGCAATGGGAATGGCTTGCAGGGAAGGCAGGGTGGAGAAAGATACTCTGGAGGACTCAGCCTGGAGTATGTCCTTGCTGCACAACAGTATGAAATATAGTATCAATTAAAGCTTCCCATTTTTACAGCCTGTGAGAGGTTATATATGGTGTGGGTGGATGTTTGTACTTTAGTGGGAGAGGTGGGTGAGATCCTCCAGTGGTGCAGAGGGAACCAAGGGCTGCGTTTAGCAAGGGGCTTCTAGACCTTTCTTTTATAAGTGGAAATAAAGCAAAGGGCACAAAGCAGGTTTTTGTCAAAGACATCTTGGGCATTTACAGCCTTCTTCCCTCCTCTTCTGAGATGTGTGCCAGGGAAGTTGTGGTGATCCCACTGCACCTCGCTGGGCTGTGGGATGGATCCTGCTGTGGGATCAGAGCTCATTGTGGGCAGGCAGGGATCCTGCTGTGGGATCAGAGCTCAGTGTGGGCAGGCAGGGATCCTGCTGTGGGATCAGAGCTCAGTGTGGGCAGGCAGGGATCCTGCTGTGGGATCAGAGCTCGGTGGGGGCAGTGTCCCCACCCTGATGAGCTGCCTGTGTGTTGGCTCTGTCCCTCCTGCAAGTGTGGATTTCCCAGGATGAATGCTGCCCTGAGAGCAAACCCAGGTCTCCCCTTGCAAAGCCAAGAGCCCGGCTGAAGTGGAATTTCTAGTTGAGACCATGTTTTGGGTTGGAGCATCTGACAAGATGGCAGAGGTGGAGGGAGCTTCTTTTTGTTTATTGTTTAAATCTCTGTGCATCCGCGTCTGCCTGCCTGAACGATGCCGTG